CGCCCGTTCCGCCATTCAGCGCTGGCGGATCGGAGCGGGGAATTCAGTCCCTCCCCTGTCACGGCAGAGAGCCGTGACAGGATCGAGAAGTTAGCGAACGCCGGTATGTGTTCGCTCACCTCCCGATCTACTGAGCCGACCTGTGACAGTCTCATTGTCACAGGTCGGCTAGAACTATGAGGTGAGTGAAAAGCACTCACCTCATAGTTCTCCTTTAACCATTTGCAACTCCATCTGAAACTAAAAATGTTTGGGCTTTAGAAATGCTTGAACACAGGGGGGCTTGCAAGCTAATGACAGATTTGCAATCTCATTTCATCTGCTGGTAAAATTCAGTATTGCAGACAGGTAGTTTATAAGCAACCATTTTGTTAACGCTGCCATGCCTGAAGGGTGGACAATGGTACACAAAACAAGAGTCCTACTTTAATATGCGCACAGCATTCAATGAACCTTCATGCACCAATCCCAGGACAGCCATTCTCCCTGGAACAGAGAATTCCTTCTCTCAGGGCCTCCTCCAAATCTCTACTTTACAATACTATTTGAAAGTTGACCATTAATATACCCTAAAAGTTTAATTTAATCTTTATCAAATAATAAAAAACTTTGGCTGTCTAGTTACTTTGCGCTCATTCCTCTGCTTGTGTGTCTTATTATATGCGCAGTAATTAGTTGAAATGAACATTTTCTTCTCTGCCATGTTTCCATCTTCAAACAGAACTATCCCTTTCCATCTTATTGTATTGCCTCTGGCAGCATCTCAATTAATGACAATGGAGAAAGAGGCATTACATTCAAACAATGGGACAGATGTGCAGCACTCGGCAGATTTTATTTCTTCTTACTGCGGATTGCGATTAAAAATTCCTATACAATATAAATTATTGGAAAACCATTAATCCCGCAGGGCCAATTACAACATTGCAAACCTTACAGAAGTGGTAGTAACTTCAGAAGAGAGACCGGTATGAATCTGCAGTAACTTCCCCAAACTCACCGCTGAGGACGGGAGGAGGGTAACCCGCAGCTATGATAATATGATCAGGGATAAGAGTAGTAGTGTAAAGAGCAGCCAGTAAACCCAAGTATAAGCGGTGGATGCCTAAACTTGGCCTCAAATTCTGTTCAGAAAAGCCCAAAACCAATCCAACAAGCATGAAATCAGGTTTGTGGGGGCAGCCTGCATACACACTGCATCTGCTGCCCCCAAAAATGTGTTGCAAGCAAAGAAATTTGACTTATTTTGTGATTATAGAAAGCTATCTGGATGTAGACTGAAAATGTGACATTTTTTTTATTACATTAAAGATACTTCAAAACAGTGCCAATCTTGCCCACCCCTTCCTGCCCACTCCTATTAGTCATAGTGATCGGCCAACAGAAATCTGGGTGGAACCTAGCGGCCCAGCTCTGACACTACCAAGAAATCGGTGTCCCAATGGGGAGGGGAAATTCCCTCTAAGCTGTCACCATTGGAGTTTTTTTTCCATAATTTTCTGTTCTGATGACAACTAAAAGATTTTGGATTTCTCTCTAAATTTCTGTTCAGGGGACACTGTTTAGCAGGACAAATGGAAAGAGGGGAAATGTTTCCAGGGGGGCAAAGAAAAAAGGACGTAACAGGGGTTTAAACAGTTACCTACTACATGCAAAACCAGATACACCCAACACTGGAACTTTCAAAAACTTAAAACAAGTCTGCATGCATAAATTCTGACATGCAGCAAAAGTAAACAAACATTCTCAGAAAAGCTCCACCTTAAAAAAAGGATTAGTTCACTTTTTTCAAAAATTAAAGAAATGCATAATTACAAAGCTCTGTACTGACGTACGGAGTTTCAGTTAGGAGAGATGGGGAAGGACGGCTGGACTTCAAACGGCATTAAATCACCCCGTACAGCGGTCGTCGCTCTAGGTAGACGCGGGGATATGGGCAGCTCTAGAGCGAGGACAAGCGAGGACGACTGGACGCCGTATAAGGTGGTTTAATGCAGTTTGAAGTCCAGCCGTCCTCCCCCCCATCTCTCCTAACTGAAACTTTGTACATCAGTACAGAGCTCTGCCTGGAAGAGAATGTGCAGAAGCCCGAGCACTGCAGCTGTGATTGAGTGATCACGATTGCAATGCTTTCCAGGCTTGAATGCAAATATTAAAGAAATGTATATATATTTTATACATTAATTATGCATTTCTTTTTTGCAAAGGGTGAACTTCGCCTTTAAAAAGGTGTCCTTGTACTCTAGTACAGTGAGTTTGCCTAAGCAAACTACAATGCAACTTTGTAGCGAATACAAGGCAAGAGACTGCAGCAGAAGTTGATCTGTGACAGACATTTGCAAACACAGCCAGAAATGATGACCGTTTCACTTTAAATTTAAGGTAAACTAAAGAACTAACATCTACAGCTACTCACCTCCTCCCCAGCAATGCAACATCAATGTACTCCCTCACCAGTGCCAACATCTTCTCCCCAGGTTCTTCAGCCACCTTAACTGTCCAACACAGAATGACTTCACTTCCGCACATGTGCACAGGAGTTCATTCATTCCGGCATTCATACATTTTAAAGGAGATTGACAAAAGCAGGTATGTTTGTTTTATTGCAGAAGATACACAGCATGTTTTTTCTTCAATAAAAAAATCCTGCCTGCTCACAGTTTTCTACTACTAGTTCCACTGTAAAAAAAAAAAGCTGTAGTGACTGCAGTAAGCTCTGGAATCAGTCAAGTGATGACTTACCTCTCTTGAATGCCAAGCCCGACTCCCTTACATTATTAACATACAGATGTGGCCTGCCTTCTTCCTCCACAGAGCTCAGCGAGAACCCTACAAAATAAATCACAAAATACAGAAATTACCATTTGGAGACCACGTCATACACACGACACGGTCTAACATTGGTTCACTTAGATGTATGAAAAGTTCGGTCACACATTGATCTATTCAATTCTATGAACTAGGGCTGCAACCAACCAATCGATTCATTGATAATAATCGTTGAGAATAGTTATTAACTATTCTCATGATCGATTAGTTGGTTGTATCCCCTACCTCTCTCCTCCACGCCAGGAGGAGATCACAGCAAGCAGTGGGCAGGTGCAATAGCCAGCCTGCTATTGGCTATTGCAATTTGAAATGGCCAACAGCAGGCTAGCTATTGCACCAGCCCACTACCTGCTCAATTTACATTCAGCTGCCATCTGCGGTATCATGCCACTGGCAGCTCTCATTCCCTGGCTGAAGCTATTCAAGGGCCATGTGCTTACAATACAATTATTATTATTTTTTAAGTAATTTTCGGTTTCAGCCTGACAAATTTTGCTGCGGGAGGTGCGTTGCAGTGTCATTCATTTCAATGGCACCCCAAATGCGCCTTCTACCCACAGTGTGATTGCCCGCACTGGAATGCACGGTACCGCAATGCTATGCGTTCCAGTGCAGTGTGATTGCAAGAAATTGTGCATGTAGTTTTATTCTGAAGTAAACTTTATGTTTGTAACACTGCATTTGGGTATTGATTTAATTTTTGTTATCCAATTAATCTAAAAAATAAAAATCAGCCAACTAATCGGTTAAGAAAATAATCATTAGTTGCAGCCCTACTATAAACACTTCTAGTGACAATGGTATAAAGGCATGGCCATGTAGGTCTTCTCTCAGTACAGATAATGAGTACTATAGACCATCAGTAATGGTCATTCTCTGATGTGTCAGTTCACAGAATAATCAGTACGTGACTGGGCACCAATTATACCCTTTGCTATAGGGGAAAGGGAACAAGCAATGAAGAGGATGATGTTCACATTATCTTTCCTCCTGCAATTTGCAGTGAGGCATCTGTGTAAAACGTATGAATTAAGCACACTAGGAGTAAAAGTGGAACTCAAGCCATTTCGCTTCAGATATTATTGAGGGGTGAATGGTTAGAGCCTCTGCCAGAATCTTCTAGCCTTCTGTGCCCTGATGGGAAAACGTGCCCTTATTTGCTGACAGAGGTTCTGAATGCCCACCCTGGCTTTCCACTTAAAAGCAAATCTGTTGGTAAAAAAAAAAAAAAAAAACTCCTGCACTTTACTTTGCTCGCCAAATAATGTTTCAGCTTCTCATACTGTGTGTCGGGTGCCTGTAAAATGTAAGTAGATTGTACATGTGTGGCTGACTTCAAAAACTGATAAGGAACTCAAAATCAACCGGAATGTCCTTGTTTTTGGATTGCAATGTTAGAGAAAAGGAGGTGCAAAGCATTGATATCTTTTTGCCCAATCTGCTTTTAAGAGATCTGTCCTGTCATTTTTCTTGCTGCTAGACAAGGATATCCACCAAATCACGAACAACCCTCTGCTGCCTCTCTATTAACCCTCTGCTACCTGCCACACATCAAAGACTTCTCCCCGACATCTCTCTATTAACCCTCTGCTGCCTCGCCACACATAGTTACATAGTTACATAGTATTTGAGGTTGAATAAAGACATTAGTCCATCAAGTCCAACCTATTAGGATCTCATTCTAGGAGTACCTGTACCCCTGTATATTACGGTCCCTTAAGAAATCGTCCAAAAGTTTCTTGAACAATTCCACATTCTTTGCTGAAATCACTGTCTGTGGCAACATTGTAGACTTCTCCCCGACACCTCTTTATTAATCCTCTGCTGCCTCCCCACACATTGTAGACTTCTCCCCGACACCCCTCTATATACCCTCTGCTGCCTCCCCACACATTGTAGACTTCTCGCCGACACCCCTCTATATACCCTCTGCTGCCTTGCCACACATTGTAGACTTCTCCCCGACACCTCTTTATTAACCCTCTGCTGCCTCCCCACACATTGTAGACTTCTCCCCGACACCTCTCTATTAACTCTCTCATCTGTCTGCCCACAGAACGTAGATGTCTCCCTGAGACCTTTATATTAACCCTCTCTGCCCACACTTCACAGACCTCTCATTGACCCATACCAAAAAACCATCTGCTGCCTTGTCCACACTTTGCAGACATCATCCTTACACCTTTGCATATTGTGTTCAACATTCATACCTCTATATTCCCAACTATGACTATTCTAGAGTCAGTCAACTTTGTAAATACATTCTAAAAATGGAAAACAATTCAAGCAATGTTGATATTAATTTCAACCACTAGATGGCGGTAGAGTATTTGTTAAGGAATGACATAGCTCATTTATGGTTCCTGTATGTCACCCTAAGGCAGCGATTCTCAACCTGTGGGTCGCGACCCCGTCAGGGGTCGAATGACGATTTGCCAGGGGTCACCCGGGAGTCTCCCGCTATTAGATATTGGCTCCCGGCCGCCCAGGAGAGAAACACTTTCTCCCGGAAAGGTTTACTCTGCTCGATCGAGTAGAGTAAACCTTTCCCTGTGATCGTTAATTTTTTTCTGACATCGGGGGCCTCTGGCCGCCGTAAGTCAGAAAAAAAAACAAAAAAAAAAACAACACCATAGGAATGCATAGCTAGATTCCTATTGGCTATTTCACTTTGCAATAGCCAATAGGAATCTAGCTCTTGCACCCGCCCTCTGCTGCTGCCAATCAGCAGAGGGGGACCTGAAGTTCTCTATCAGGTCCTCTTCTAGCGATTGGCAGCAGCAGTGGGCGGGTGCAATAGCTAGTTTTCTATTGGCTATTGCAAAGTGAAATAGCCAATAGGAATCTAGCTATGAATTCCTATGCTGTTTTTTTGGTTTTTTTTTTATTCTGATGGCGTATGGCAGGCTTTGATCAGCTGCCTGAGACCTCAGCATCTCCAGTAATAAGGGGGGCAAGTACACATCGCCACTTCCTTACATTGTTTTACCTGACTAACTGATTACATTGACTAGTAAACATAAACCAAAACCTGGCTTCACATAAAACAACAGCTAATAACAACATTCTCAAGCCTGTCTGTGAATGATGCAGTTTGTGTACATAAAATTATATTTCTGACATTTGTATATAGTTGCTGTCATGTGAGTCTGAAGGAGGCTGAAAGGTGCCAACCTCTTTTTTTTGTAGAAGGTAACTAGATAGGAAGTCAGCTATGTTGGAAAATGTTGCTGAAGGTAGTAGCGTCAGATATCACTTTGATTATAGCACAACGACTTTTCTAAAGGAGTCCAATTAATCTGCGTTCACTTAAATCATGAACAAGGAAATTAAAAAAAGTTTCAGCACATGACTGGTTGCTGGAAGAAAATTAAACAGTGGGCAAAGTGAAGAACATTTCAGTAAATCGCCTCTTCCAGGTTGATTTACTCAATGATTGTTCATCTACAGCAGTGGTTCTCAACCTGTGGGTCGCTGTGTGATATCTGCTGTGATAGGTGAGAGTCCTCCTCAGCCCTCTCCTAGCGCAGCAGTGTCAGTTCTCCCGCCACGCCGCCAAATGTCGCTGCAGCAGCCTCGTCATCCTGACAGTTCTTGAAAATTGGGGCAGTCCTCTATATCTCTTAATATTTCCTTCAAGAGACCCTGTCACCAGCCTTCACTTTTTTATTAAATGCTTTTTTTAATGCTTTTAAAGCATTTGATAAAAGTGCTTTGAACTCCTGATTTGAACTGCAAACAAACATTTTCCACTCTCCTGATCTCCATTACATAGAGGGATGTTGGTTTAGAGTTCACAGAAGAATGCCGGGAAAGCTGATTAGATTGTTTGATATGTCAGTTTAATGCACAGGAAGTTACAAAGACACTGGAACTCTGACAACATCAACAGGTATTTTAAGCTGTCAAATCTAAGGATTGGTAAACTGCAATATATTAAATGTTTGTTCTTCTTGGAATCAAATATCTTTTAAGCCACATAGACTGCTTTGTGAGACGATCACTGCCTGATGAAAGTGATCACCACAGAGGTCCAAAGGTTCAGTTCTCCTGCCTATTCATTGTGAACACGGCTGGTAACAGCTGCTCAAACAAGCAGTATTGTGTACAAGTACAATTACACATTCGCATGTATTAAAGGGGCCATTCAATTGCTAGAGTGAGATAGTAAAACAAAATTCATTGGCACATAGAGCTACTTTTAGTAACCGGGATTAAAGTGTATGTCAATTCTGATAAATCAACTTCTCTTATTTGATCCTTTTGGTCTGTTAAATATATGATTGAAATTGTGTTTTATATCTGTTCCAAAAAATACCTGTTGATCCTTAAAAATCCAGATCGGTCCTGTGTACTATGCAGTCCTACCACAAGCACTATTATGAGCTCTGCCTAACCAACTTCCTGGAACCACACAATTCCTCAATCACTGCAGGCTGGGGGACATTGATTAATTCCGCCGCACAGCAAGTCAATGCTGAACAGCAGACATGTTCGAGATGTCTGGGAAAAATCAGTTTAATATTAAGAATATCACAAGACTGAACAGTCAAGAATTTGCTTTGCGTTAGTGTTTGTGGGTTTCTCTGGATTAATAAAAAACTTTTATATTTACATCCTTGATTAAATCATGAAAAGGGCAAAAAAACATGTAGTGCATCTCTGCAATACATGCCCATTTCCCCATGTTTTGTCTCTTTAACCGCCTCTCGGCCGGCCGTTGTAATTAAACGTCTAAAGATGGCCTGTTAGCCCCGCCCACTCCACACCTGCGAGTGGGAAACTGCCCAAATTTAACAACAGGCAGCGATGCCTGTTTACATACGAGTGATCCGCCGGCCATAGAGCCGACGGAACGCTTGTATGAGGTGCCGATCATGCGCCCCCTCCGCAGCGCTGGTCCCGAGCTCCGCTGTGAATGGGGCGGGCCGGGACCAGCACTACAGCTTTCTGACAGGAGATCAGTACACGAGCTCCTTCCGGTGTCCGAATGCGGCAGTGATGCATATTACATCACTTGCGCATTCTGCTGTCACTCTCCGGCTACAGCACCTCCAGAGAAGCTGGTGAAGCAGATCTCTGCTCCAGCAGCTTCTCTGGGGGTCCCTAGGTGACAATAGGGGTCTTAAAGACATCTGATGTCTCCATAAAGAGGACCTGTCACATCCCCTTTGCCATCACATAATATTACCCAAATCTCCTTGGAACTTACCGAACATTTCTGACGGCTCAGTCTTCTCCAGCTGAATGTATCTGATGACTCTGGGGCAGATTGTGATTTCCTTGTAGAGCTGAAAAAGAGAACAGAATGATGATATACTTTACTGAACAATCAGTAAAAAGGTGGAACACCCTTCCCCAAGCAGTGGTATCAGCTGAGAGTATTGATCAATTTAAGAACCTTTTAGATGATTTCCTCGGAGAGCACAATATACAGGGGTACAGGTATTCTTAGTGACACACACACATAGGTTGAACTCGATGGTCCTGTGCCTTTATTCAACCTCATCAACTATGTAGCTATGAAATAGTGTTTATTCTTGGCCTGACACATTTCAGCCCTGAAAGGAATAAAGGCTGTAAAGGCTCATAAAAGTCTACAACGATGGTTGAGAATTACATTTTTCAGTAAAGCTGGCCATACACTAGTACTGTAGATTTCCGAACGAACTTTGGAACAAGAGATTTTTCTTTACAATCCGATAATGCCATCAGACACTTGACGAATGTTGATCGAAGTTTTGTTTGATTCCAACGTTGGATTTTGGAATGAATGGAGTTTTCCAAATGAAAACCAAATGTACTGTTTTATTTAATTTGTTAGAGAAAATATTTCCATCCTGCTCTTTCCTTTTCGTCACTCTGGTCTAAATCGGTCTAAATCGATCGGTGATATCGCATCCCATCAACACATAGAAAGTCAAAAGAAAGATCTTTTGTACGAAAGCTATTTTGAAAATCTAAGCAGTGTATGGCCAGATTTTGACTAGTAAGCCAACTAAAACACCAAACAGCAGATAAAAGGTTGCAAAGGAGAAAGAAATGCTGCTGTATTACATGAAACTTAAGGGAAACCTAGGGGCAGCCATCTAAAGATACTAACTACCTGCCTCTGGCTTTAATGCTTGTAACCACTGATTTGGAAGGACTCTACTCTTCTAAATATCCATGCTGGTTCTAAGTCAAGCAGTCAAAGTACTGAAGCCAGAGTGACAGCACAATAGACCATAAAATAGGCACTTCAAAGAGAAGCTTATAAAATAGCAAGCCCCGCTTTAAGCCGTGGTTTGGGCTCCATAGATCTCAAGGGCTCAATAGTTGCATCCTCAGCACCCCTTTACACTCAAGAGCCCTAGTACTGTCCAAAAGACACACCTTCTTAAATCATTTATTTCAGAAGCTAGTTAACTTCAAAAGATGGTGAGAGAAAACCAGAGTAATTGGAAGAAGCCTAGGCAAACATAGGGGAATATGCAAACTGCAGCTCAAATCGCAGTGCTATTTGCAGGAACTGTCCCTCTTTTTGGAATGAAGTCACCCAGACCCTCGTTTTGCCTCAGTTGTCTCTCTTCTTTGTCTCATGTCTGGACCTCAATAAAAATGTTAAATTTAAAGCTAAAATCCAGACATAAAGGCTTTAATATATTCCTCATTTCAATGTATGTGCACCAAATGCCTTTACAAACCCAGATGGTATATTCCCTTTTAAAAGTCCACTCACTACAGTCAGCCTGCAGAATATTTATCCATCTGGGAGGTAGAGGGGGAGTGTGGGCTGCTCGGATCAGGGTGGTAGTCTTCTGCAATGTGAGGAGCAGTATCATACTAAGAAGGTATTTACATTTGTTATCAGAGTATGGTTTTGGTTTAAGTGTTTTTATTTAGTAATTCTATTAATGTAGCATTAATGATTCATGTAGGAAAGATTAGAAATGGGCATATGTTTGATATTGTTTCATACATTAGATATTTTATGGATCCACTGGGACATTTCTTAGTTTATTTTAGTTTTACTTCATTTATTTTATTTTGTTTGGTTTGGCATTTGTCACTCCTAAATATTATATACCTCTCTGAGATGCCTATACTGATGGTCCCTATGGTCTTTAATTTGTTGGAAGCCCTATGCTCCGATATATCCCCTGATTATAAGATTTAGCCGTAACCGTTTGAAGCACTCAGAACGGGCTCGCCCTCTTTCCCCCTTCTGATAGCCCGTAGGGTTCCTTGCCTCCCTTACTCCCCTCCGGCAGCGTAGGCATATCCAGTACGACAGAAATCTTGTTAAATGGTATTTATCAATGTATATTATATGTAGATCTTGAATTATTAATTTTTCATATGTATAAATATTATGTGATTATTATAGGCACCTCCTCAGTCCCTGATGAAGCCTTGGACGAAACGCATAGAATTCTGGACACAGTATAGAATTATGCATCAATTTTGGATGAACATGACTATTTATGAATAATATGCAAAGATATAAGGAGACAAATTATGTGAAAAGTTAGTTATTTACAGTATTTATCTATACGTGTTCCAGGGAGGTCTTGTGCCATAGTTTTACAATCATTGGATATATGTCGGTCTGCTACTTTATTTATTGATATGCCAATCATGTATTTTTATATTAAAGACAATCATTTTTACATAATATGTGACTCTTGTGGTATTATGTGGAACTTTGGAATATGGTAGATGAAACCTTTAAAGCCCCATCTTTTTTTTTTCTTCGGTAGGCATATTAGGGGTGTGGTGTTATTGTTCGTGTGGTGATTCACAATTTTGTTTACACTGCAGAATATTACAGGAAGGGAAGATAAAAGATCAGTCACCCTGCACACGGACATGGAGCAGCACTGAATGGTCTGTATTACTGGAAACTGTAACATTTTGGAAATTCTATCACGTTTTCTTCCCTTCCGGTGGCAATGGCCATCAGGACAAATAGAGGGGATGAACCTTCCCAGCACAGTCACACACAGAAATAAAAACCTGTCACGAGTTCTAACACTTCCACCCTCCAGGCAAAACAAACAAAATAGGGTTGTAGATGCATTTTAAGGATGAGCTGTTAGCAGACACTGCATTCCCATACATCCCAGTAGAAAGACTTCAACATGCAACCTTCTACTACAGGATTTACTGGGCAATGCAGGATTTAGTGAAGACCTGCCAGAGCAGTCAACTACAGCAACCATTGACAGTGTTTGAGGCAAACATTATTTGCCTGTACCGTTCCACTTTAAAAACTGTAAACTATACAATTCATTATCTTCACAGGTAAACAAAGGTTGAAGAACCTGTGCTGCTCTTCCACTAGGAACGTTGATGAGGCTGACTTACAAGTCGGGATTTGTTTGCTCTGTAGCCACATATCGCTCACCTGCAATCTGGACTGCACAAGTACACCTGCTGGGAGCAGGTGAGCAAACAAGGCATCTGTCAGCTCCATACAGCTGATAAGCATCCAGTATCTGGAAGTTATTCATTTATCAAAGTGGGCAGAGATACCAGACTAATTAAGCAATGTTTACAACATCTTAAAACAGACAACCTTATTGCTGTAATAAAATGTCAGTGGTGGAAGGAACAGGGGTAGCAGCCTACAAATAACAAAATGAAAAAAAAACTGTCATCATAGCGGTGGTGGATGCCCAACAGAGTACGAGATCCACAGTTCACCCTAAAAAAAAGAAAGACCCTGAACGATTAATAGCCGTAGATGGACTCATGAAGCCTCTGGCACTATAACATATGCCGTGTCCCTGGGTCAGTACCAGAAGATAATTTGGGCTGGTGACCCAGAGTGGAGATACTTCACCATTGAGATATTGTTCAAAGTGGGCTTGGAGGTCTGTGACCAGCTTCTGGGTGTTCTGTAGCTAGCTGCTCTCCATTCATACCAGTGGTATTTTAGCTATTTAAATGTAGTTCTACAATAACTATTATGGGATGCTATTCTCCCTGCCAAAAATATAAGTAAATAGACGTTGTCAAGTTCTCCAACTTCACCAGGTCTTTGGTGGACTCAAATTTAGGGAAGTCAGGATTCGGCAGTATACTACACTCCGCTTGGTTTGCTGCTGCTTATATAGACATTATAATCCATGTATATCACTCATCAGTTTCACTATGTAATATAACCTGGTATAAGGGTCAGTTTTGAAAATCACAGACTAAAACCCATCATTATGGATCTTCTGAACCCGACTGTCCCGCACAAGTCATCCCCTATGCGGTGAGTATGCATGAAGCTGCAGATGGTGCCTGACATATATGATGTCTGCTCCACCTATCTGGTAAATTTAAGTCGCTAACAGAGGCTCTCTTAAACCAATCTCTAATTCAGATCCTGGTAGCCTCTCCACAGGTGCTCTGTGTGCCCATCTATCTGAACCTCTGTAGCATTAGGGGCATTAAAGAAAACAACTGCAGCCAACAATACTTTTGTTTCAGTAGCTAGTAGGGCTTGTGTTGATAGCATCAGTTTGACATTAGTTTGCAATGTTTCTGAGACCATTCAGCATTATTGACAGGAGCATCTGACCTGCAGTTGACCTACTTATGACCCGTTTCAAATGGGCTTCAAACACGCTTGAAGCGGAAAAAAAAGCCTGTTGACACATGCCCCAAAGGGAAGTTTCCCTCACTTTGTGTGGGCACTGAGACCGCAAATTCTCTCCAACAGAGTCAGACGACCAATATTTCGCTTTTCTGAGCATAGGTAAAACCACTAACTAAAATAGCATATAAACTTTAAGCAGTTATTGTAATATCAAAAGCAAATTAGGGGTTAGGTGTGGCGATTAGAATGGGGGAGGGGTTACACAATCACAAAGATACCTGGAAGAAGGCAACCAAGGTCACCAACATCAAATCAGACACAACTCTGTCCAGTTATAACAAGCAATACTCAAGACTAATGCTTTGCCAAAAAACAAAAATTATGGCTTCTTTGTGGACTGATTACGGAGCTCCACAAGCTGTGCAATGAGCATGTATACAAAGGAGAAGTGGTACCTACCAGTTCATAAATCTCTTCCTCAGGTCTTGGTATATAATGCTGCTGTTGGTTATCGCACAGGAATCTGAGGCGTAGATAATGAGCCGTGTAATCCAACTGATGAGTCTGCAACATAAATAAAAGAGATCAGGGAAGAGTTACAATTAGTTGTACATTGCACATCTTCCAAATCTCTGTGCATTATAACATGACACTGCACCATATACACATACATATATAAAGACAACATTGGAAGAAAAAAGTAAATACATATTACACCCCAGGTTCCAGGGACGGTGATGCTTGATGCCACTAGACTAACAGGATCCTGAAAACCATGTGGAGACCAGGACTGGGCAGTAGCATCATCTTCCTCGGCATTCCTAGGATCCCAAATGATGGCCCACTGGCGTCACCCTGACCTGGGTGAACTTTCTAAAAGCCAAGGGTATTATTTAATGAAACTCTGTTGGGGGGTGGGATTTTTTTTAAAACACCCTGTAATAAAAAATAAAGAGTCCCTATCTGGACAAAACAAAAACTCCCACACTGCAAGGGTTAACTGCTCATTTATGCCTAGCAGTAAAAAAAAAAGCTGGTTTACTTACCCGATCCCCACTCTTGCTGGCCCCCACAGCCTTTTCTACCCCTTTCCCTCCGGCGGTCTAAGAACTGCTGACATCATCATGTATAATGCAGGTTCCATAGACCTGCAATAGCCGTAAGGACGCAGAGGGACTTTCCACCAGCTGGAGTGGAGAGGAGAGAGGGGAGCTCCAACCGCCAGGGGAGCGGAAATCAGATAGGTAAAGGTGCTTTACTCTGGTCCGCTAGGCATAAACGAGCTGTGCAGATCAACACAGGCTCAACACAAGGGCAAATAGAGAAAGATTGTTTTCTATGTGCCATGTTCACTCCATACATGTGAGGTAGTGTACGATGTGTAAAACTACAGCATGTATGCATTTCTACCCACTGCAACTCACCGCAGTGCATGTCACCGCCATAAAGATTATTATAATGTGCTGCAGTGGATAGAATTGGATAAAATGCAATTTTGTGACCTTTTAGAAAAAAAAAAAAGATAAACAGTGCAATGCGTTACAAAGCAAAGAAGTGCACCAATACAATTCCCACCAGCGGGGGCAGGATATAAAGGGCAATATGCCCTCCTGCTAGTGAGAACAAGTCCAAAGAATGCAAAATACCATATAGTCACTCGCACTCCGTTTGTAGATACGGTCGATCAGATGCAGTCGATCTCCTTTATTGACTGAACATGATGTCACATATACAAAGCGACATTTCGGGATCAGGCAGTCCCTTCCTCAGGCACACAACACTAGTTAGGTTACACAAGCAGTGGGGAAGCCCGCTGCTGTGTAACCTAACTACCTGTCAAAAGCTGGATGCAGCACTGCCTGTAACAGCGGGGAGGCTTTCCCTGCTGTGTAACCAGTAACAAGCCGATCTGAAGGGAGAAAAAGCTGTTGGCTTCAGACTTGAAGCTGACAGCTTTTTCCTCCATAATACTAGGTGAGGCTCTGCCTCTCCTGCCTCGCCTGACTGCAGATCCCTGGTCCATTCAGTAAACTTGTTCACTTTAAAGTGACATTAAAGTCAAACTTTTTTTTGCCCCGTCCCAATCCTGCTCTAGGGACTTCCCTTAAATGATGCCTCTTGATCCGATCATCATCTTCTGCTTCTTTCCTGTAGTTTTCAGCTGTACCTTAAGCGCTGGTGCGGGTCTCCGATTCAGCGCCGACTCCTCTGTCCTCCTCTTCTCTGACGTCCCACGGAGTCTGTGTGTGTGCACGCTGCTCCATAGACTTCTCTCCTCATCTCACGGCCGAAGATCTGAACTGCGCATGCACCCACCACAAGATCCCTGGCGGCCGCCCAAGACTCTTTAGATGTTCGGACGGGAGCGCGCGGTGAAGACACAGGTGAGTTTTAACCTGTTTGAAAAGGTTTTTTTTTGCATATATCTACTGTTTGCTAGCAGTAGATATATGCAAAAATCGCTGAGGGTTTATTAACCCTTTATGGTCACTGCAAATAACACGGGGCACTCTTTGCTCCTGAAGAGAAAAAAAAGTTTAACCTCAGCATGTAGAAAGGCTTTTTCACAGTAAAAACGCAGAAAATATATTTCCTCGGGAGCTAGTTTAGCTTTCTCAGTTTTTTGGGCTTTTTTTAAACTGGATTTGTAATTAAAATGCACAGAATATAACTGGCTATTAATATTTATAGGTAATAACTCAGCAAATTGTTGATCCAGGGAATATCCAATTGCTTTAAGGGATCAGGAAAAAAAAATGTTCCCCCGGTCGGAGCAAAAAAGACCACGCTTTATAAGGGATTTTCACTTTCCTCTGGATCAACCAAAGCTTTCGATTTTTCCGTATGCAGGTTTTGATTATTATTAATTATTATCAATTACTTTTTCTATTGGTTGAACTCAACTTGTTGAATTTTTTTCAACCTGTGTAACTGCGAAATCTTGGATTCTGTATACAATGCGGTTCTGTATTTCATCCACTAGGTGGCAGACAGCCACAAGAAAAGCCACGTAAGAAAACAAATACATATAACACCAATGAACTCCTGCCAGGTTCTAAATAATCTTAAATAAAAATAAAAGTCAGTAAAAAAAGCTCATCATGGAACTGGCAATCCTCCAGACAGCATTTTCCAGCCTAAACAGAACCGAGGCAATAGAAATAGAACAGAGCATCAGGAAATCCAGTCTTTTTTATTCCTCTGACTTTGGTGCACTCTACTGACAATCCAGGGGGTGACAACACAATGACCAAGAATTCCATTTACCAGGATGGAGACTCTTGTAACTGGAGAACAAATCAATTTCTTTCAAAGAAACAATGCAGTAAAGTAAACCTGTTATTAGGCAACTCAAGATGAAGTAGAATTATTACATAGGTACTGCCACCATAAAGAGCCAGCACACACTTCCTGTTTGTTAAAACGTGATTGCAGGACATTTGCAGTATGCCATACACACCCGACCCCTGAAAGCAATGATAATGTCCCTCAATTGATGAACCCACAATTAAGCGGGTACTGCCGATGGCATGCTTACAATGCATTTCCATTTTTGCAGCCAAGATGGCATAACATCTAAATTTATATTTGCTACACATTCACGTAGCAAAACTTTGAAAAATATATAAAACTTGCACCGAGAGATAGGGTGGACAACATATATCCTCAACTACTCTCTACTAGGGATGCACCGATATATCGGCCGCCGAAACATATCGGCCGAAAATGGCACTTTTGGCCAAATGCCGAAAGTGAAATTTTCCTGCCGATACTTTGGTGTGTGTGTGTGTGTATTTGGGAAGGGAGAGGTTTCAGTTACAGGTTTTCTAGCATATCTACTTTTTAAGGGTTGTCCCACATCTGATGCAGCTGCCAGTCTCATTCTAGGGAGCTGTTCACTGGCTACAAATCTTGATGGATGGTGTCTTGGGCATATTGGGGTTGGAAGGAGTTCGGACTATACTGCAACCATGCAAGCTCTGGTCACAACTTCCTTTAAAACTCACCCTTCAACCTCTGTCTACCAGGAGTGCTCTACAAGGACAATATTTATCTGCATGGAGGTACCTCCTATTCCATACAGGAGCCAGCTGAATGCCATGGTTTAGAGTGAACCTGTGGGGTGGTTCCATCAGGACCATGAATTACCTTGCAAATGATATCCAAGGCATCCTTTGCTGTATCATCTGGATGGATGACAATTAGGACTGGTTGGTCGTTTGGCAGGCATACCCAGGACGGTGTCAGGTACTCATGCACCCATATGTCAGCATCGGCATTGTGAGAATGGACGCTGGTCAAAGGCACCTCTTTTTCCTTCTGTGTAAAAAGACAAATATGTAGGTAAAAAAAAAACTACAAATGTCTAAAGCAATGAGCAAAATTATCTTAATTTAAAGGATCTTCACAGGTCGCACACATCATTTTAGAATTTTTTACAGAAGCAGCAATGTATATATGCAATGTATTCTAGTATCCTAGTTATCTTTTTTTACATCGGATTTTCATATAAACAAACAAAAAAAAAACAGATTGGCTTACAAACCACACAACAGTTGTCCATCACATTCAAATCCTTGGAATCACTTGGAAATATTGCATAGAATCAATTGTAATATAATAAGATATTTTTTCCCAAAATGAGGTGCCAGCTATTTGGCAATCATTTCATATTTGACGAGTCCTAAAAACTCTTTTTGAAAGCCAATTATCTCTTTGTTCTTGGACATTACCTTGTCTTCTGATGCGGTATCATCAAATATGCCTTCCAACGATTTCTTGACAGATTCTGAGCCATCATTAAACACCTGTCAAGTAAAATAGAACATTTAAGGGCAAAAAAGTTATATTTCAAAGTAGTCTCATACTAATCCAAGAGGATGGCGCTTTATGCATTGGTGGGTGGTCTAAGAAATAACTATTCAAACTGGTAAATTGTAGTTAGATCAGGTCTGTGATTAACTTTTTACTTAGTGTTAGATTGAGAAGAGAAGGATTAAAAAACCCAATGGTTTATATTGCTTTGTGTCCACAACAGGGAGATTCACCCGGTCTAATTGCCCTGCTGACCATTGTGACCAAGACTGAAACCGAGGGAAAATCCAAAATCTTTACAGTTGTCACCAGGACCTGAACCGAGAAGTACACTTCCAACGGGGACACTTGTTGTAATGACAACTGTCTGGAAAGGTTTCCCTTACTTTGGGGTCATAGTCATTTACTTTCTGCTGTAGAAAAAAAAAACGTGTTGCCAGCACACTATGAATTTAGAGTTTATTAAACTGATCACATTACATTAAGTCCCCGTTCACACCTTCTTGTTTCATTAACACGCACCCAAGGTGCATGCTTTGGCACGCGTTCATGCAACACATTTATATTGTGCAGCGCACTTGAGCTGCCATTGGTTGTTAATGGTACCCTAAGTGCGGCCGGTAAGATATGCATTTTCTTTCCCCTGGGCATGGACACGCGATAATCGCACACAAATGAGCATAAAAAACAAAAAACACACTTGCAGCTAAACATGCCGCGCAAGCTACTTTACCGCGTCTGTCACATGTGCGGCAGCCCATTTATTACATGGGCTGACACGCAACAATGGAGACAAAAACGCTCGTCAATGTGTGTTTGTGTTCATTTATCGCTAGGTGTGACGGGGCCTAAGTGTAAGTGCAACATTTTGGAGCTGCACAGAACCCCTGAAGTGATCACATACCTGACAAAGGGGTTCTACACAGAATTGAAATGTTGCACTTGCACCCAAGTTGATTGCTTAAATATTGGGGGTCTATTTATAAATACATATTCATAGCTATTCATCCAGCAAAACTGCATGTACATTTGTTCTGTGCCATTAACAAGCTGATGTGAGAATGAGGCAAGATTAAATCTTCTTAGAGCATTTTCTATTTGGGTGGAATGTTCTTTAAATATTACGAGCAGTAGTAAAAAATAGTGAAGCGTGAACCAGGGAAATGCCTCATTATGGCCACTAGATGGAGCTGAAGATCATTGGACATAAATCCATCTCTGGAACAAAAGATGCAATGTAACAATTCTAGAGAACTCTGGAGAGAAATAGAAATAAATGTAAGCATTGCTGCTACAGGGATCCCGGGGGACTCCAGGCTTTATCCAAAAACGTGAGCAATGGAAATATATCAATGATTTACCTCCTTTTGAGTCCCTGAGACAAAGTAAATGGGACAATGACAGCCAAGAAATATGACTGTGGTTTTAACCTTTCCCTACTCCATTTAAAATCTAACACAAAAAAAAAAAAACTTTTGATCTAAGATATAAAGATTTACATATGCAAGTTGCGTGTTGGCCAGTATGACCGTGTACATGAAGCAAATAGACAAATGACAAAGATAATTGCCTCAATTTTGCCAGCACACCTGATTAAGGCTTGGTCTCCCTTGTTTCTTCTTAGAAGACGTGTCAAGACCCCAGATAGAAGAAAACCGGCTCCTTCTCTTACTGGCAGATCGTGACATGGCTTGTGTACGTCTTCTCACCCCGGACTCTCCTGTACGAGCAGCCACCTATGGAGAGGCAGAAATGCCATCAAGGAACAGACAAACACCATCAGATCCT